AGCCTGGCGTCCCCACGCACTGTGCATCAGATGTCATGGACCAGATGCAGCGTTCACAATGCTGCACAGAGCTGTCGGGACTGGCACTGTGGGACAGGGATGTACCCGTTCCCCTGGAAGCATTACCCTTGTGTTGGCAGAGGAGGAGAGTTTTGCAGGAGGAAAGAGCGCTGCGCTGCACCGCACTGCACCGTATGCACCTCACCGCACCGTACTGCGCTGTGCTGCACACACCTCCACAGGTCTGCTGACGAAAGCTGACTTTTGCTGACAAGGCCTCACGTTCTCACTCTGGTTCTGCCATTTACCATTCAAACACCGATCAAAGGGTCTAGCAGAGGAACGCGCCCCTCCCGACTGCTGTTAGTGACTGGGGACGAGCTGCAGTTTTTATTCTGACTGTAACCTCATGATTAGAGGAAGCAACTGACAGCCAGGAGCTGCCCTGAAAGACAGAAAGTCTGGCGGGTCATGCCCATGTTGTCTGTACCCTGTTCTCCCTTCTCCCAGAGCTAATGCCTCATCAAGAGAGACAAGCCAAGGCAGCAGGCAGCCAGCCAGCTTCCATGTCAGCTTCATCTCTCTGAGGAGCTGCATTAAGAAAATCCAGAGCCCCCAACTTGCCTCCTGGTGCCCTCTCAGTCCCGCAGAACACAAGTGGGCGGTGCACTCTTCCAAAGCATAAAGTCCTGTAGGTCCTGCGTGGCCTGGATAAGGGAGAGGGGCTGGACTATCTGCAGATGCACTGCTGCCCACGCCCTGCTAGCTGAAACGCTGAGAAGAAAGTACACGGAGCACAAGGCCAGGACAAGGGAGACTACACAAACCTGATCGCCCATCACTTCCTGTAAGCGGTCTCGCTGAGTCCTGGGCCCCTGGCTGGTGCTCAGGCCCATACTTATTAGTCCACCGGCCCCTTTAACACAGTGGAGCCTGAGGATGGGTCAGGCCACAATACCCGCGCTAGCCGAAAGCAACATAGCCTGACCCTGGTTCAGGCTGGTGCAGACAAACACACAGTGCCCACCATCAGTTTTTAAGCCAGGCCCTGGCTCAGGGCGGGGCCGGCAAACGCACAGTTCTCAGCACAAGTGGAGAGGGGGAGACTGCCACCCAGTATGGGGGGGGGGGGAGAAGGAATGTAGGCCCCTCCCTACTCCACCACAGCCCGGCCCAGGGCCCTAGCACTGGCTGCCTTGGTGACCACTGGGGTCAGCAGGGCATGCGCTCCGAAACACTGACACCATCATGGGGTGATCAGCTCCATCTGACCATCCTCCGCTCCCCCTGGACCACTTCTAGACCCCTCAGCGTGTACCTGGCTCCAGGCAGCGGTGGGTTCACAGGGTCTGCATAGTCCAGTGATCTCCAACCTTTTTACACCCAAGATCACTTTTTAAATCTCAGAACAGGCGAAGATCTACCGCCCCGCCCCTTGCTTGAAGCCCCGCCCTCTTTATTCTCCTCCTGTCCATCACTTGCTATCCCCAGCCCTTACTCACACACTCTGATAAACAGTTTATTTTTAAATTATGCAATATATAAAATTAAAATCACGCGTTTATAGTTATGAAATGGTCTTTTTTATTCATGCTATTTAAATCTAAAATGAAGCATTTATAATTATACATTTTGTGGGGACAGAGTTCTGTGGCTGGGGGCAGGGGGCAGGGGGCAGGGTGCTGGGAGGGCAGAGGACAGGATTC